AGGGCTCCTCTGTGCCCATACACAGAGTCAGCCAAAGCTTTTGCTTCCACAATGGTTTGGTGCCAGACTCACAGCAGGGATAACAGCTCAGACATGGGGCCCACTCTGCCCACAGCTCCAAAATTAGAACATAATGCTTAAAGCTGGCAGTCATATTCCCATAAATCAATTTTTTTTTCATTCCAAAAAATGTTCCTAAGAGGATTCTGCTCTACCACTGCCCACTATCATGGGATTAATGGACAAGATGGATCTAAGTCAATCAATTTAACATGATACTCTTGTGTTCCTACATACTTTCCCACAGTGTGTAACTCTGTACTTCCTTAAGACATGTTTTCTCAAGAGAGGGTTTCAACCTGCTTGGAAATTCCACTTCAACGGTGATTTATTTTGTTGAAAATGTTTTTTTTTTTTTTTTTAAGGACCTGTCAATCTAACTCTATTTGCTTAATTAAAAGCATCTAAAATAAGGATTGTGAATGACTTTATTTCTTTTAATTTGGTAAATATAATTTGAAAGTTTCCAAGGGCATTCATCTGAAATGTTCTTCCCAAATGGAAGGTTAGGAGGAAGATATGGGAGATTAAGAGTGGGAATCTATGAAAGTTGCTGGAAATCTTTCCTTTTAAACCACAAACTTTGATTTTCCCCTTTCTCTCTCTGAGATTTTGTGATAGTGCACCTTCTTGACCATAGCTCCGCCATGTTAAAGTTTAGATTGACTCTAGCCTCTGGAATTATCAGACAGGTGGCTCAGGGTATGGGAGCACACATCAGCAGGACTCCAGTTGTCTTGGGTACAGGTCAGTGTGTTCCGGAGTGCACCTGCTAACTGCAGCTTCATGACTTCTGTATTTTATACGTGGCTTGCTTCTGCAAAATAGTAATTGTTACTTGATTGAATAGAAATTGTTAAGGAGACTCTCCACCTGTAAGCTTGGGCACTTAAGTTTTGCACCCCTGGTTATGGTTTTTCTGGCACGGGGCTACACATGTGGGTTCCGACACCCTTGTGTAGTCACTGGCCAGCAACATCTTTCATTGGGCAAAACTTTGTCTGAGTGGTCTTCTCTGGTGAAGCACCTCACAACAATCTGGTATCTCTAAATAACATATCAAGGAATGCATAAAGCATGTGTCTACTACAGATGTGGCCCTGGATCACTGGGGACCCATCTTTGGAATCTGCTCTCAGCAAGGTTTGTCAGTAACTGAAAGGAAAGTATTTCAATAGTGTTGAATATTTGTGGAGTCCATGGCAGTCGCTGGGTCACTGTGACATAGGGACCATCTAGCACCCAGCAAAAGTTTGTTAATCTTATTAACTAGCTATCCAAATTTGTTTAAGATTTATTTTATTTTTCTTTATGTATCTGTCTATGTGAGTATGTGTCATAAATGTGCAAGTGTCCACAGAAGTCAGAAGAAGGCATCAGATCTCCTGGAGCTAGAGTTACAGACAGTTGTAAATCAACTGATGTGGATGTTGAAAATTGAAGTTGGGTCCTTTGGAAGAACAGCAAGGACTCCACAGCCCCTAAGTAGCCAAATCTAGGGGAGGGGACCCTGTCTGAGCCAAACAAATTAGTCAGTGCATGTTCTACCCAATTGTGGCTTTGATTTAAATCAGTGAATTATTTTGTACCATACAGGTGTAAGTGGAGAGACAGAAGTGAGGCAAAGAAAGATGACAGAAATATCCCAACAGATGGAACCGACAGATGGGGACCATTTTAGTCCAAGAAAGGCAGATTAAGAAAGAGAGCAGTGTTTGAACCAAATCCACAGGTGTGGTGGGAATTATGCTACACCAACTACATCTTAATAGTGTGAAATAATTCTCCTGTTGTCCTCATTCTTCTCAGTCTTTGCAAATGTGGAAGGTGGGGGGGGATCATAGGCATGAAACAATGCTACTTCCCCTTGCACTGAGTGAAGCTCCCCAAGGAGCTTACCTCCTGATCACTCAAATTTCACCACTGTCCTCTGTTAAAGAACAGTCAACCTTTTTCAGGGTCGTGTAGCACCATTCCTAATAAAACAGAATCTATGAGGTTCTTAAGTAGAGAGAGTTGGCTCCTGGATATAAAAATTAAACCCCTATTAGGATCAACAAATTGGGGACATGGTAGGTTATGTTCGTTGCCTGCTTGGCAATCTAGCTGAAGGCAAACCCTGGGGATGATTTCCATGCTTCTAAGCTCTGATTATCAGGCCATAGTCCCTCTGGTATAGTAAATGAATGAGAACTTTTCTTGGAGCTCAAAGAGCTCTTACAAATGGAGTCTGGATCCTCATTTTTATATGCAAAAAATGGAAATTAAGAGATGGAGAATCCAGAGCCAGGTATGGTAGCTGACACCTAGAATCCCAGCATTCCTTGCTATGACCAAGTGCTTGACAAGAAGTAATTTAAGGAAGCTGGATAGAAGATTGTTGTGATTTCAAAGCCAGCCTGGGCTATGGAGTGAGCCTTTTCCTCAAAGAGCAAAAGTGGGAGCTAGAGCCATAGATAGAAATGAGGGTGTATCTACAGTCATACTCCTACCTAAATGCCAGCATCTAGATATCTAAAATGTCTATTATAGTTCAAAAGTTTTCAATAACTTCCTAATTCCTATTAACGCATCATCTCAAAACAGATAAGATATGGAGAATCAGCCTGAGAGCATAAAGTTAGGCAACCCTGTCCAGACCTCTATTTGGTATATTAATACACAAAAGGGTAATAATTTATTGTGTCTTATTTCAAGGTAAAGTAAAAAGGAAATGCTGTCCTCATAAAATTTTGTTGGGACTAGACTGGAGAGATGACTCAGCAGGTAAAGAGCACACTGGCTTTTCTTGCAGAGGACCTGGGTTTGATTCCCAGCACTTACATGGCAGCTAACAACCATCTGTAACTCCAGTTCTAGGGGAATCCAATGCCCTTTTCTGACCTCTGTGGGCATTGCATGACATGGGTGCACTTACATACATGCAGGTAATACACTCAAACACATAAAATAATAAATACAATATTAATTAAAAGGTTTGTTAACTAGCAAATGCAAGTCATCAGATTTCAAAGGTAGCTATGTTGTCTTCTCAGGGACATTAGTTCATTTATGCCCATTCCTTCAGGTACTATCCTGAAGACAGTCCAGAAGCTTCCATGTAGCAAGCAGAAGTGTGGTATTATGGTTTGGATGTAAAATGTCCCTCACAGGCTCATATGTTTTCATGTTTGGGCCCTAGGTGGTGATGTTGTTTTGGGAGATTGCAAAACCATCACGAGATGATGCTTCCCTGGAGGAAGTGAGTCCGGGGGTAGGAGGTCAGCTTAGGTTTAGAGCTTCACTCTGGTTTCTGTCTTTTCTTTGTGTCTTCATCTTCTAAGACACTCCCAAGCAGCCTCATACTCACTGCTGCCATGATGAACTGTATCCCTTCAAACTATGAGCCCAAATGCATCTTTCTTCTCTTAAATTGCTTCTTGTCAAGTTCTTGGTCACAGCAATTAGAAACCTAATACTGCGCTGTTCTCATTTCAAACACATCTAGATTCTCCAAAGCCATTCTTGTCCTAATTTCTTGCCAATCTTGTTTTTGCAGCTGTAGGAAGTATAGCAGGTGCTGGCTTCAGCAGTAGTTTGCCCTAGCTGACTAACACAATCTACTTGGTGACTAAGATGACATCTACAGAAGCTACCAGAGGAAGGTAGGATGCTTGCCAGGCCAAGAGTTAAAGTGTGTGTGTCTGTGTCTCTGTGTGTCTATGTGTGTCTGTGTGTCTGTGTGTGTTTGTGTGTATGGGAGTCGGGTGGGAGGGTGTAGAAATGTGGCGTACAATCTCTTCTAGAGAAAGAGCACTACCACAGAGAGTTCATCATGGAAAAACACGAAAAATGTTCTGGTGATGGATGAAATGGGATGTAATCAAGTGAATTAAGCCAGTCTCAGAAAGAAAATTATGTTTTCTCTCATTTGTAGTTCCCAAATTTTTTTGTAGATTCATAAAATTGTGTGAATGTGTGATTGTGCATGTGTGACATGACAGCAGAAGTAAAACTGTCTAGGGGACGAACACTACTAGAGAGGAGCAACAAAGGCATACAGGAGCATACATGGGGATTTGTATAACATACAAAGCACACATGTATGAAGGCTTAAAACTTATTATAAAATGAATACTAAATATAACTCTTGAGGTCTTCTGACCCCAGATATTTAGGAAGAACACTATTTGAGGCAAGTGTATTTGTGCACCCCATGTTCTTGGGTGGTCTTTTGATAGCAGCTGATATCTGGGAATGAAGAATGAAAGTGGTCTGTAGCCTGCCAGAGTCTAGGCTTCAGTGTTCTCAGAATATCCTCAGCGTCTGCTGGGTCAAAAACTATTTTCCTTTTCAAATTATTCATATATGTGTGTGTGTTTGTGTGCTCAGGAAATGCCTAGTAACAATTAGAACTTAATAAATATACCACTTAGTCATTAGAAATTACTTCCAAGATTATTTTATAAAGCTTCCAAGTGTTCATACAACATTTTAAATCTTAAAATCAAACCACTCCCCTTCAAGATAATTTTTCCTCCAGGAAAATTGAACCATTCAGACTAATTATACATATATATATATACATATATGATATATATGATATAAAGCTCTAGTTTTATATCTCGAATGGAACGTGGAAGGTCTTGGACATTAATGAACCCATTGCATTGTTTTATTTCTTATTAAACATTAACATCTAGTATATCATTTAATAGCTTGGAAGCTTGATAATAATATACCATCAGAGATCAGTAGCAGGTTCCTGGCCCACCTGGGAACATCTCTGTGCTCAGCAATTTCTAATCACTAATGGATTTGTTTCTATGTGTGTGTAGATGAGATGAGCAGACCAATAGCCACTTGAATCAGTAAGCTCTAAACTATCCCCCTGAAAAGGGGCATTGTTAGAAGCCATCACAAAGTACCTACCATACAGTAAGAGTGGAAACAAACAATACCTGTCTCCTTAGGTCTCTTGTTTTCTTGGTCATCTTGTCAATTGCAATGTTTAGAGGGTCTCCTTTTTCCTTCCTTCCAGTCTATGAAGAAAAAAGGAAGAAAAGAATTTTTCATTCATAAAGTTCAGTATCAGAAACATTAACAGTTTACAACGATCCAGGAAGACACTTAAGTTATACATACCAACAAATTGAGGAAAACATTTGTTTCATAGCACAGATAATATGACTGTGTCTCTAAAGTAATTTTTTTTGAAATACCAATTAAAATTGAGAAAAGCCAGTATAATCTCAGAGTGGATGGTTACGAAACTTATTTTTTTTTCCTTTATCCAGTTACTCATGGATGAAGTAAGCAAAGAATGTTTAGCTTTTGCCTCCAAAAATAAATCTAATGTGATTCTCTATTATGTAAGCACATTTATGAATGGAAGATAATTCAAGATAATTTTTAAAAAGAATTCAGCACAGAATAAGGAGATAGCTCCATGGATAAAGTTTTTGACTCACAGTGTGAGGACCTAACTTTGGATCCCCAGAACCAATGAGAATGCCAGGTGAGTGTGTAACACGCCTGTAATTTCAGTACTCAGAAGGCTGAGGCAGAGGGTTCTTTGGAGAAGCTGGCTAGCTAGGCTTACATATCAGTCATCTGGGTTCAAGTGAGAGACCTTTCCCCACTGAAGAAAGTAGAGAGCCGTAGTCCTCCTGTCAGCCCCAGACAGCCACATGTATGAATACTACACACATATGCGAAAAGAAGTTAAAGTTAAAAAAAAAGAGTTTCAGTTAATCATTAGTATTAACAAATTTATGCCAGTATTATAAAGACCACATTGCAACTTCTATACCAATACCATAAGAGATGCTTTATGAGAAAACAGGGCTCTTCTAATCTCTATCGGGCAGTAGAGATGCCAAGCAAATTATAGCTTGAGATAATGAGGAAAATTTCCATGTGACAATAACAGGTACTTGTAGAAGCAAAAAGAAGATAGAAAAAATAAGACTTCAATGAATTATACACTTAAAATCTTACTGGTTTCATGTTTCTTTTCTATTTCTCTGATGCTATAGAAAAATAACGAAAACCAAAAAGAATTTCAATCTCTTTTACTTTAAAAAGTTTTTTTTTTAGCACTTATTACTTTTATTTTATTTATTTAATGGTGTGGGGTGGAGATGGGTGATGTCATGACACCCATGTGGAAGTCAGAGGGCAACCTGAAGGAGTCAGTTCTTTCTTTCTACCATCTAGGGATGGACATCTGGATATCAGACTTGGTAGCAAGTAGTTTACCCCTGAACCATTTCCACAGCCCTCTAACAACTGTCTGTAATTCCAGTCCCAGGGGATCTGGCAGCCTCTTCTGACCTCCACAGGCATGGCCCGACATGGGTGCACTTACCCACATGCAGGCAATACGCACATACACATAAAATAAAAATAATAAAATTTTTTAAAAGTTTAAGATTTTTTTTTTCGGTCTTTTTGAGACAGGGTCTCCCTGTAGCCCCAGCCATCCTGGAACTCACTATGTAGACCAGGCTGGCATGACATCACAGAGATCCGCCTGCCTCTGCCTCCTGAGTGCTGGGATTAATGACCTGTGCCAAAATTATAGATGCCTAAAAATGCACTGCTCTCTGCTTAAGAGATACTTTTCAAAAAAAAAAAAAAAAAAAAAAAAAAAGCCAAACCTATCAAATTATTGAAACTTTAGTCTAATATCCTACAAATTGATTGGTTGATGGTCCTACAGGCAGGGCAATTCTTGTTCCATACTCAGTCTGGACAATCATGCTGGACTCTGCAGTTGAGTATATATTGGCTGGAATGAGATACTAGGTGACAAATTGTATCTACTCAGATAATATGTTTGGGGAAAAGAAATTACCAGCCAGCAGGCTTCTAAGTGATCTTCCAAAGAAAAACTCTTCAGATACATAAAGCTGAGACATGCACATGAGATCCGCAGGCTTGGCTGAAAACAGCCACTTTTCTCTGCAACTAGCTTATATAAATCACTTTTTTTCTAAACAAATGTCTGATGTATAGTCTTACCAGGTTTTCATTGAAAAGTCAAAACCAGGGCATATGTGTGCATATTTTTAGCTGTCTAAAATCCTAACAAACCCTTCCTTCTCCCTTTGCGTACTCACACACTGACTCTTTCAGAAGTACGCACTGAGGTTGTCAGTAGGAAGAGCTTAAAATAAAGTGGCTAACATTTTACAACATTGAAATATCAGTTTACAAATAGTTTCAAGAAAACAAAAGTATATGAATAATAATATCTTATTTGCTCTTTCTGAAGAACGTGGCTGCATAGAGAGGGCGCTCCAGCTCCCTGCCTTCCAACATGTAAGTGTGACAAGTTCAATAGCCAGAAGCTACTCTTCTCTTTGGATTTCTTGCAAATAAGATGTCTGCCATCAAAAGACAGGACCCTTCTGAAAAGGTTCTCAACACCTTGATCTTTCTGAGAATCACAGGTTTCCACCCTCTTTCCAGTTATTAAAGTCATAAAAACTTTAAAATTAGGAGTTCTGTGTTAGACTTGTCTGGGACAAGAGAATAGATCACTATAAAAAAGAAAAGGAAGGACATGGAGAAATAGCTCAGTGGGTAAATAGAGCATTTGTGAAAGTATTAGTACCTGAGTTCAAATCCCCAGAATGAAAGTAAATCTGGCTGTGGAAGCATGGTATGCAATCCCAGTGCTCCTAAAGGGGAGAGACAGGAGAACCCCTGGAAGCTCTCAGGCAGCCCAGCTGGCATGTACAGCAGAAAGAATGAGAGTAGAAGACACTCAAACAATGTGGAAGACCAGGACCAGAACCTGAGACTGCCCTCTGACCACACACTCACCACAACACAAGGACCAGAACCAGGACCAGAACCAGGACCAGAACCTGAGACTGCCCTCTGACCACACACTCACCACAACACAAGGACCAGAACCAGGACCAGAACCAGGACCAGAACCTGAGACTGCCCTCTGACCACACACTCACCACAACACAAGGACCAGAACAAGGACCAGAACCAGGACCAGAACCTGAGACTGCCCTCTGACCACACACTCACCACAACACAAGCATGCCCACATTCAATGCACACACAAAAATAAACTTTTAAAATGAAGTAAATTAAGACAGGTTAGGTACATGAAATAATTCGTGAGTACATTATGTGCCAGGCACTGGGCTCTCTTTATTCTGTCAGTGACATGTCTTTATCCTCATTGTACAAATGAGAAAAATCCATGTTGAACAAAAACACCAAAGTTTTAAAGAACAAGATCTGAGAAGGCAAGAATTAGGATGGGGCTAGTGAAGCAAGTCCAACATCAGATAATAATTTATACTTAAAAACTGAAAAGGAAAATGTTGGTGGGGATACAGCTCAGTTGTCAAAGTACTTCCCTAGCAGGCACAAGACCCAAGGCTCTATATTCAGCACTGTATAAACCAGGTGTGGCACACATGTCTATAATCCTAGCACTCAGGGGGTACAGACAGAGGATCAGATGTTCAAGAATATTTTCAACTGCATAGCAATCCAAGGCCAGCCTGGGCTAGAGATCTAGTTGTAACAAAAATTAATTATGAAACTATCTTTCATACTAGAAAAAGAAAAAATAATCATATGAAATTTAAATTTAGCTTGGTGTTCTGTGTTTCAAGGTGTCCCCAGATGTAGTCATAGTGCTCAACCTTGTAACTGAGATTGTTAGAGACACACATGGGGTTTTGGCTGCTATTTTTTGTAAACAAGGGCAACATGTGTCCCCCACGTGGCATCAGTAACCTACAAATGTCAAACACAGGTTTATGAGGCAAGAACACTGTGGGAGACATATAAAAAGGGAAAGTTAACGCTCTCACATGAATGAGTAGACCCCAGCACTCTAAAACACGGAGCTCCTCTGGCTAGGGAGCAGGTAATACATTGTAAAGTCCAGCATTCTCAGACAGGCTTAGGGAACCTTAAGTAGACCTTCAGCCCTAACTTAGATTAGAATATATATGAAAGGGAGAGGCATTCTGAATGGCAGAAAGAAAAACCTTGAGGCAAGTAATGACAAGATGGTTTCTGAGAAGATAGTGAGAACTAGGCTCTTCTGCATGATATAAGGGTCACTTTGACTATTGATAGATGTTATTTTCATGAGGGCCTCTTTATTTTATGAATAATATTATGTTTCCATAGCCAGTCCCAGAGAGCCTCTGGTGACATCGGTATTATACTCCACTTTTTTCAGGATTCTCTTTATATAATATTTGCAGTTCTGAATCTCTCTGGCCTTCTGGTTGAAAGCAATTCAGAAATGAAGCTGATGTGGGCAACATAAGCTAAAGACTTATTTTACTTATAATTATGTGTATGGGGTGGGTATGTGCACATGAGTATAGGTGTCTATGGAGCCAGAAGAGGATGATGGATTCACTGGAGCTGGAGTTACAAGAATTTGTGAACTACTGAACTTGGGTGCTAGAAACAAAACTTGGGTCTTCTGTAAGAACTCTTAAATGCTAAGCCATCCTTCCATCCCTGAAAGCTAGTCATTTTTAAAGCAAGGATTAGAGTTTTAGAAATGTGAGCCACTGACCAGTGTAGTCAATTCATTGGCATATTATAAACTTTGATTTCTTGAAGTATGTATATAGGAATAACACTCATCATCCCACAATGCTCAGATTTGTACAAACAAATGAGGGTTTGCAAGTCAGGCCTGGTAGTACATGCCTAGAACCTTAATGCTTGCGAGCGTGTGGGGTCTTAGTTTCATTTCTGTTGCTTTGATAAAATTCTCTGACAGAAAGCAACCTAGGGGAGAAAAGTGTTTTAGCTCACAATTCCAGATTATGGTCCATCATTGAGGGGAAGTCAAGGCAGTAGGAACTTGCAGCAGCTAGTCACAGCACATCTAGTGTCAAGAGCAGACAGAAATAAATGTGTATGAATGCTCTCTAGTGCTCAGCTCACGCTATCCTCTTCATTCAGTCCGTGAAAATGGTGCTGCTCTCATTCAAGGTGTGTCTTCCCACATCACTTCACATAATCAAGATAATCC